TTTGGAAATCACAGCACCTTCAGGGCACATCATCTTTTCCAGAAAATGCCAGACATGATAACTGTAGGTCACAACAGATTCCAACTATTGGCCTCCTAAGGTTTGTTTCTGTAAGTGCAATTCTGAAATTTCAAATGACAGTACTATGGAATAACACAAGCAGACAGGTCGAATTCACTACGTGCATCTGTTCAGTGCATGGCTCAGATGTTCAATAGTGACAACACAAACCAGCTACTATGACCTATCAACATGACATCCGGCTTCATAGCCAACACTGATCACTTGATCAGACCTGAATAAGGCCAACTGCAGTGGTACAAAAAGTGCCATGATTCTGTTCCAAAATGAATATAATGGACTAGTCATGTACAGTTTGCACTCTTGTTTCATCATCGCCTTCTGCTCTGTCTATTGATTGTCATTTTGATGATACAAAGCTTGGTTCACTGAATGGACACAAAGGTGCCCCCGACAGCCGGATCAAAATATTTGTTTTTTTTCTATTATTCTCCTTAGTTTTAACAGGAAAGTGAAAAAAAAATCTCTACTGATAATCAAGGGATTGCTTATATTCAGATAGGAGAAATGTCTGGAAGATCATTAGAGCTGATTAGGTTCCTATGTCTGTCATGTAGTTACCGAGTGCTTGGGTCCAACACAAACATTTCTTTAGTAAATGTTTCAGTCAGTTGTTTGACAAGAAATTTAGCTAATGAACTAGTATTAGCAGCTAAGAGCTAAGCCTTTCTTTTGCTGAACCTCAAAATCAGGTTAGACTTGCTCAGTAGTCAAGACTATGAACTAATGGACCTAACAGTGCATATGAGAAACCAACAACTCAAACATGGTGCATAAACACTGCATGGTTTCTGCGGCTGACGCTGATTTGTTGTGAGAGAGAAACATTATACCATGGCTGATAAGCAGTTCAAACGAACAGGGCAGTCAAGTGTAAAAACCCTCGCCAAACTAAGTATTATTAGTACAGACCAAGAACTGATCCAAGCCCTGGCCCAATCCCCCCTATATATCCGAACAGTTCTTATTGTCCCAACACTTCTTACTGGAGAGCTAGTTCTCGAATCTCAAAATCGTGGAACTGGGGTTCGATTGTTAAGGTAAGACATATTTTTGTCTAATGCTGTTCAATGGCAGCTCTTTGATGGTAATGTTTCTATCAAGAACCAGATGCTTTGGTTTCCAACCTTCCTGTGAATGCACAAGATTTATTCACAAATTTATGGCTGACTCATCCAAAAAGATGGAAATTCATTTTGCTATCATTTTTTGTCCAGATTTTGTAAATAACGGTCCTACAACTAGAAAAAATGACTTAAATGTAAGTAATCTTCACCATCATAATCACACAGAGGCTGTCATTGATTTAATATGGAGCAATAAACAAATCCTTCGTTGAGTTCAAATGTTTGTCTGGAGGCTCCTCACAAAAAAATATTCCCAATGCTCCGCGTGTACACGGAAGAATTAAAGATATTACTCCCAACCGTGAACACTGTAATATGGTTGAAAATGGTATCTTTTGTTCCACTAGGTAGCGTGTCCATGCGTTGCTACGGGATAGCTAATATTTTGTACTAAAAACATACGGATCGCACGATAAGATAAAAATACTATAAAAATTAAATACCAACGTTAAAGTGACATTTAATAAAAAAAGCAAAGTTTATGAATTTAACACAGTCACAGAGTGCGCGGCGTCACAGGCTCACAAACTCTACTTTATAGACATTTCCGTGATGCGGCTAAGATAATGTTTTATATCGGCAGGAAGAAATCTCCGATATTCATTTCTTTCGTGCGCCAATAAATCCACGAATAAGTTCCGCCGCATCTCCATACCATCATGTACACAGGTTCAAGTATATATGTCAATATTAATGACTGTCGTATGGGTAATACTGTGTCTCTTGAAAAATCTTCTACAAAAACTTAAAACAAAGTGTTATACTCAACGTATAAATATGTGTGGCTTTTGGTCTATTCCACGCAGGCATATACTGTAGAATAAAATATCCACTTAAGTGTCTGTGGCAAGATTCACAATCAGCAATATGTAGAAATAGTTAAATTATAGGTATTATTATTGCAAGCGACGATGACTCTAAGTTAATTACCCATCTATGTCTTCTACGATGTTTTCTTCCCGTTTGAATTTCCATTTGAAGACATCATCTTTCCATCCAGGAATATGTTCATTCACTGCGGCCGTGTAGTTGAAGCTAAATCCAAGAGTGTAGTTGGCATACATCAGCGCTGGTGTGTCTTTACACCACTCTTCAACAGGTCTAGGGTCAATCATGATAAGCATCTTTTCCCGCTGATTGAAAACATAAAGTATATATTTTCAAACGTGCAGCCATGAGAAAAGAAACTACAAACATGGTAGCGATTAGAATAGTATATAGGAAACAAGTAATAAAAGTAGGAGCAAGCGACTTACATATGTGCATTGTGCTAAGTTGTATTTCATATCCTCACATACCTCAATCGCAGCAGCCATTTCTTTCGTATTGTATTTTTTATGGAATTCTAGCATTTTTGTTAAAGCACACATTTTCTGAAAGAAAAGGATATCGAGTCAGGATTAATATAACTTGGCCTGCTGACCACAACGGTCACCGCAATCTCCTTCTTTGACTTTTGAAAAAAAAGTGGAGGACTTATCGCATCGGAGTTCCTAAGATGGAGGAGGCAGTGATGATGGAAAAACATGAGCATACAGTCCTATTCACTATATGACAACTCGGGGGATAAATGATATCCATAACCTGGTTGATTGATTGTCCTATAATCAATTGTTTTTCAATTATTCCATACTTGCTTTCACACTTGATTTCACAAAAATAAAAAAAATAATGAAACTATCATAATTAGATGACTGTAAGTTTGCAAACAGTTAATAACAAATTTCTGAACTGTTTTCTCTAAAGAGTTAGCAATTTTAGATCATGTCTGTAGTAATCATAAAACATTTCGTCAATAGATCACGTCAATTTTGTTTCTTTTCTTACAGCCACAAAAATGTTCAGATGCGTACAAAAAAATGTTCAGATAAGTACACCTTTCACCGTGAAGATAGATGGCAGTCAGTACCAAGACATCTGCGAGAATGTTCACTACAAGATCCTTGTGGTGAGATTGATCACTGTAGATGCCCCACCAATAGGAGTTGTTTGACCTGAACAGTAAAGCCATTAGCCATTTATTTTTATTTGCTATCCAGTTTCAAAATGTATAAAGTGCTATCCAAAAACACCTGAATAATACATGTGACAAGGCAATGCAACCTCTGTTCAAATGAATAGCTTTCCAATCTGAACCCATAAATTATCTTTAAAGTATTATAAGATGTTCCCAGCAGCTGATTTTTCTATATACTCATTAGAAGGCAAATAATTTCTATTGAGTTGTCCAATCTAGCATGCATTCCTCTCAACTCTATACAGATCATGAAGAAGACAGTGGCCTAGATGCATGCATCCATCTCCTTGTTCCTATCACCAATCCGGACCAAGCCTAACCCCCAATGCGACCGTCCGCATCGCTCATGTGTTGGAAAATCGCTCTGGATTTTTTGTCGCTAATGGAAAATAGGAGGCATATTTTCATCAGCATCTTGGACTGCAGAGATCATTGTCCTGAACTCATCGCATCTTGACTACACATTGAAGTCAGTCAACCAGAGAATAATATAAGCAGGAAACAATCATCTGATATTGCCCAGTTCTATCTTCAGTTAAAAAAGAGGTAGAACATACATATGAATGGATACGATTTTGCTTTTGGTTTTGGTTATGCTTCTTATTTGTAATACTAAATGATAAATAATTTGTGCAGGCTTACAATGATACAGACGTCAAGTCATAATTATCTAGGTATAAATTGTTATAACTTCACTCCTCGGATACAACAATGTGAGTTCTCATTGTCCTTGGCGCATTCTCTTTGTTTAAAGTGCTGTCAGAGAACCGGTAGTTAAGCACCCCTAGAACTTTGACTAAATTTTTCAATGTTCTAAGGCTTAGCTGAGTAAAGAATTGGTATATTCCTGACATCTCAATTATTTGTATGTGCAATAAAGAACTTGACTGCTATTCCTGACATCCTTAACGCATGAATGAATCCTGTTGGGAGTTTCCAAGCACCAAGCAATGTCGAAGTAGAAGAAACACACATCAATAAAATTAGGAAATACCAAGTGGGATATTGTAATAGTTAGGTCAAATCCTCTATATATTGGTTGCATACTATGGCTCAGATTAAACTTAAACATATGCAAGAGGGAGATAGCAACCAGGAAAGGTACTCGCTCCAATTGAAAATAATCAGCTGACTTTGCTTTTGAATTAGTCATTCCGCTTTCTATGTGTTTGCTTGTGGATTTACATGTTACCATAGCTATATATATGAAGTACAATATCATCAACACGCGCAATTGTGAAATAGTACAGCATATTGGCAGTGGAAAAGACAGATAACTTGGTGTCAACTGAAATAGTCATTATCTACATTTAAGCTTGCAACTGTATATTTCATAGTCTAGAATCTCCTTTTGGCCTTGTGCCTCTTCTTGTTAGGCAGAGGCCGGAAGTACGTTTTCAAGGCCTTGTATCATCTTGATGTAGTGCTTTGAGAATTTAATAAGAGCTCCCCTTTATCAAGAAAAAAGAAAAAGAAAAGAGAACAAGACTTTACCTCCTATATCACAGAAGTGATATTCAAAGTCTGCACAATGTTTGACAGGTGTTTGTACAAAAAAACATGCTCCAATCATCACCCACGTTGAGATTGTTGCTTGCTTCAGCCCACAAGCTGGTATATGGATCTGCCAAACCAGAAATACACAGGAGGCTCAGCATCGTCTTTAATTTGCATGGCTACATATTTAGGGCAGAATGAGTGATGCAAAGGCGTGGTGCAAACCAGGTAACAGGAGGCGCAGGTCGCGGCACTGATCTTGGTCGCGGACGGCGGCGATGTCTCACGAACGCCGACGATGTCTGGAGGCGGCAGAGGCGGCGGAAGTGCAGGTCGCAGCGCCGTTCTTGGTCGCGGACAGCGGCGATGACTCACGGACGGCGGCGATGTGCGGAGGCGGCAGAGGCGGTGGAGGCGCAGGTCGCGGCGCTGTTCTTGGTCACGGACGGCGGCGATTGTCGGAGGCGCAGGTCGCGGCGCCGTTCTTGGTCGCGGACAGCGGCGATGTCTCACGGCTCACATACTTCCTTCTGAGGGCCGCGACGGGGATACGACGCCGTCCTTCTGCGGACGGCGGCGATGTCCTATCGCAAGGGAAACGACGCCTTCCTTCTGCGGGCCGCGACGTACGAAGCACGACGCCTTCCTTTTCACCTTCCTTCCTCGTACGCGCAAGGGATACGACGCCTTGTCTATAGGCAACGACAAACGCGGCTTTGTTCCGACGTGCACAGGCTGATGACGACAGAGATGGAATCCAATCAATTTATCACACGGACCTTCCACCTTCCTTCCTCGTACGCGCAAGGTATACGACGCCATCCTTCTGCGGGCTGCAACGCTCGGTCGTATCACACGGACGGGAGGGAAGAGCGACCTGAAAAAAAAGTCATCAAAAAATTGTCTAACTTTTGTTTTCTTAGTCGTAGGAGATTGTAGTTTTGCAAGAGCAGTTTAGTTTGCTTCTCCTCTAGCTATCAAAATCTGATTTCCTGCAAGGCTCTTGGTCTGAGATTTTACACTATATTTGCAGTGACCTATGTTAAAACATTTAGATCATCTAGTAGTGGATTTAGGAGAGATACACATGGATTCGGAATAACACATGCACATGTAAACCTAGAACACTACATCGAAAAGGGAGACATAGAGACAGAGAGATGTGAGGAGAGTGAGGAGTTCACAGACCAGTGGATCTCGTGGAGTTGGAGCTCGATTGAAAATCGAAATTGATGGAGGCAGCCTATCCACTCTAGAGAGGCGGCCGCGATGGAGAGCAGTGATGCAAAGGTGCGATGGCGTGGCGGCGGCGGCTTCCCAAAATCATGGTCAAAGCTCAATAGATCGGAGTAGGGTTTCTTGGGCGTCCTTGAACCTCGTCTTGAGCCACACCCCACCTCTATTTATGTGATTGACGGGGGCCGCCAGACCATAGATGGACTTCGGCCGCGAGTCAAGAATGGCCATTGAAGATCAAACCAACATTCCCTCCTTGATCTCAACTCAACTTTAACTTTAAACTTTGACTTTAATCCTTTTCACTTTTATTTGTTCCATTACTGTTAGTGCATAGGTATGCTTCATGCACTCAATCGCCGATAGACTTAATGCCAATACACATCTCTGTTTTGAAACTGGCTTTAACTTTGGGCCCTTTATTGTCCGAAATCATAGGCTATACCATAAACCCATGTCGTGGTTTCTCCAAACACACCTTGGGTGGTAAAGCTTTTGTGCGCGGATCCGCAAGCACTTGCTTGTTACTTATATGTTCAATACTTTTAGTATGATTCCGACTTTCTCCTTCACAACGTATAACTTTAACGTCAATGTGTTTGGCAAAGACACTTGACCCGTTGTTATAGGAGCGAACTACTTAAATGGTTATTGTTGTTGTATACCATTATCAATTCCGGGTGTAAGTTCTTTTAACCACTTCGTCTGTCCTTAAACCACAACTGTTTCTTTGGAGCTTTTTCACAATAAAACTCCAACTGCGAGTGTTAGCTACTATGTGGGTTTCATTAAACATCTCGCCAAATTTTAACTTTTGTACCCACAACTATTTGAGAGTACTTATTCTTTCTTACTCACCATGAGGCCTATAAATCCTTGCACAATTGCAAAACATTCTCAACTCCATTCCAAAGATCTATATCTGGACTTCATCCGGATATATAAAAGCAGGTAAGTTCTTGCTTATAAGTATTCAGTAAGCTTCCAACAACTGAAGCATATATGACGTCCATTTGATCGATCTCACATTTATTCTTGGAATACTGAAAGTTCCAAAAACTATTACCCTTGAATATAGGAACAGGCGCAGGTTTATTCATATATATACTTTATTTCTTTAAAATCTTCTCTAAGTATACATTTGAGATAGTTCTAATACCCATTTTCCTTTTATCTCGGTAAGTTCCAATTCCTTGAACGAATGATGCTTTACCAAGACCATTCTCATTGAAACTTGAGGACAAGAACTGCTTCTTCTCCAACAATAGATTAACACCACTACTAGCGAGTAAGGCACTACCCACATGCAGGATTAGAAAAAAAAAATTCCATGTTTAAACTTTGCATGAATACAATTGTCCTCTACATTCTCTTTAAAACCCAAACTTTCTTATTGTACTGTCAAACTTCAAGAACCACTGTCTTGAAGCTTGCTTTAATCCATAAATGGATTTCTTTAGGCAACATCCCTTTACGTTCTTTTCCTTCCACGACAAAATCTTTTGAGTTATGCCATGTAAACGTTTCCATACAAATTCTCGTTGAGGAATGTGTCTTTACATCCTTCTGATGTAACTGTAAATTATAATGTGCCACTAATACCATTATGATTATAAAAGAATCCTTGCAAGCTTATTATAATCTATTCCTTCTCTTTGTGTAAATCATTTCGCCACAAGTGGCGCTTTATAGTTTTCATATTTCCTTTAGAGTCACATTTGTCTTGTAGACCCATTACAGCCTACTGTGTTGGCTCTATTGGGAATTACTTCTAAGTCACAAACATCGTTGGTATTTATCGATTTCATTTCATCTTCCTTTGCTTCTTGCCATTTAGACGAGTGAACGCCTCTCATGGCTTTTTCAAATGAGGTGAAATTATCCTCTATTTGAATTTCTTTCTTAACATTGACTTCTTAGTCGCCAAAAATATCTGATTTTTTTATTCTTTGAGACCTTCTGGGGCCTCGTGGCACTTCTTTCATATGGGGCTATTGTTACTCTTCATTGCCAAAAGGCAATTGTTCTATAGCCTCCTGTATCACAAGATCCTTCTTTACTTATTCATCTTCTTTAAGAACTAACATCTGGTGTTGTATATGTCATACAACATCAGCATGTATAAGGCAATTTGTTGCTCTAAAAAACACTGTAGTGGATATGTAATCCTACTTCTATTTAAGCCTTAGGTATCTACATACCATGCTCCCCCAGATTACTCTATCTTCTAAAAAGATGGTGTATCTTCAAATTTCTTATTTTGGGTTTAATCTGCTAAAAAACTTATATGACGCGTTTAGCACCGCCTTGATAACTCTAAACTCGTCCAATATAAATACTAGCCGACTATGCTATCTTCCTATCGAAACTATAAAAAGGTCCAGGAATTTAGCTATTTCTTTACTTTAGGGGTATCGTTATTATGACCGTCTTACTCCCTCAACGATCACAAACATCTTTTATAGATCACTTTTACCTTCAATGCATAGTATGCATTGCATTATCTGAAGTATGGGGAAGTATCTTAATTGTCTTTCTTAATTAATCTTACATTTCTCCCCCTCGAAATGTGGTATGAACTTTTTTACCACAATTTCAAAACATTCAGAACTCTTGTGAATGAGGAAACTTTGATTACTTACTTCATCCACATGATTACATCATGCAAACAAAATTCGTATGGGAGTACATTTTTCTCATTACACTTCAAAACTCAACATAGTCTATTATTATCAATACTTCTGCAAGTCATGTTTGCATATCATTCTTATCTTTTGGTTCACATGCAACTTTCTTTTGTTCTTAAACTCATTGAGTACCTAATGACCATGACACAATCAGAGTGTACGGTCAATACTAGGATAGCATAAAAGCTACCTCAAACTTCTCTCCATGTGCGGGATACACTTAGAGCACATGAGTCATGCGGGTATTTTTTTCAAACTTTTCCCGCCATGCAGGTACTATCATAAACTTTTTCCCGCCATGCGAAATATTCCTTTGAACGAACATAATTGCCAGGATTGGCTCGTGTTCAATCATCAAATTCAGAAATAAATCCGAATATTCTTTTAACACACATGTTTAATCCAATGTTAGTCAAATTAAATATGTATATGACTTTTACAACTCTCATAAGTGAAACTGAAAATAAATTCTTCTCCACAGAGAGTACATAAAAGACATTTCTCAATGAAGACTCTCATTGATCTATCTCTTTTCTTAGATCAATATACTAGAATTCTTTTCTTTTGAAGCCATTCTTTAAAGAGAACACAATCCCTTAACCAATGACATTCTTTCATACATAACTTGCTCTTAGGCATTTCATCATCTGAGTCACAAGTACCCAGCTCATTTCTCTTTCTGCCTTCAAGAATGAAAGCTTGGTGGTCTTTTGTCTGAAAATATTCAACAATAATGCTCATTAAACTTTGAAAACTTTATGTTCTATTCTATATCACCGTTGGGCAGAAATAGAATAAAACATCATTCTTCTACATTAATTCCACCTCACCGCTGGTAGCGTATGGGAATTAACGATAAAATTCAATAATCTTGAAAACATAGAATCGCTCCTCAAAATTAAATTCTCCCGTTGGTTCAATTTAATTAGAAGACAATCAACTTCATTGCAGCGAAACATGAAAATACATTTCTCTAGTTTAAGAGCATTCCTTGATCTTTATCTCGTTCTCTAAAATTGGTCACTTTGATGCAAAATTCATCGCTTTAATCATAAAACTCATAAAATTATAATATTATTATCATCAACGTTGGTCAGAAAATAACAATACCATAATTTAACTTTAAACTTAAACTCATAAATAAACTTATAATATTGTTATCATCAACGTTGGTCAGAAAATAACAATATTATAATTTATCTTAACTATCAACCGAATATTTCTCCAATTTAAAAAAAATCAGTTGGTTCCAATTTTAATGGAGGATAAACTCTTCATCATTTCTTGAATAACTATAATCGCTCTTCAATTAGAAGACAATAAACCTTTAACTTTGCGGTGAACTATGAACATAATTGTTGAATTTTACCCAGAAAAATTCTCTTTTCTAATTTTCTTTGAGCCATTTATCATTTTCCGGAAATTGCATTTCTTTGGAAAATTAAAAAAAAAAATGGCTTAATTCTTTCTTACTGTTGTCGGCTGGGCCCAAACTTAACTCAAGACGCGTAGACCACCCGAAGCCGTAACGTGGGCTGGCTTAAAGCGGCGGCCATACTTCCCTTTGAGGACGATCGGTAGATCTCGGCCGTCCGTCTGCAAGATCCGACGGAAGCCAGCATCTAGGGCGTAACAAAACCACGGGCGCTTCCTCAACCCTAGCCTCATTCTCTCCCTCCCTTCTCTCTCATCCGTCTGAGTGCAGGGCGGAAGCCGCGCATGGCGTGCGGAAGGAGAAATGGAGATAAGCGGCGCCAGCACCTCTCGCCGGCGCA